AAATATCTCACTGGGTATTTTCTAGAAATAAATCTTGTTCTCATGGACCACACAAAAGCATCCCTGCTACAAGTACCTGACCCTTGGCATTTGACAGATGAATTGTGCTTGGTTCAGTGCTATTATTTATTGTATTTTTGTCAGTGTTACAGTGTTACAGTTATGAAACCCCATTCCTAAGCAGGAAAAGCCATACAGCCTCTGCCCTGAATGGGCTGCAGTCAGATGACAACTGGCAATACTAAGGTGCTGCAGGTGGCACACCTGGCTGTGGAAGTTTGCACACAAGCACCCCTTAGGTATTTAAGAGGCCCACATAAAAGTTCTGCTAATTTCTATGATAAATGTAGTGCGAGGGGAAGAACATATTTAAATTGCGGTTCAGACTTTGGACTTAAGAGTGAAGTATTCAGTATTTTAATATAATAAATGTCACGTGGTTTCTGGTAGTGGAATAATACCAGAAACTCAGTGCATTATACATTCATGGATTAGGTTGGAAATGTTTGTAAACCGGGCAATAAAGCTGTTTGAGCAGAAGTATCTACAAGTTACTAGTGAAGTAATTTTAGTTTTAAAATGACATGAAAGGTTGGTGTCTGACAGTGCTGTGTGGGGACAGTGTTGTAACCAACAGAAGCAGCACATTGTAAAGTGAGGGAGCAGCTTACAAACACCTGTGCAAATGGCATGATTTAGGGATAAAACATTACAGAACTTTTTGCCATTAGGTAAAGGAGGGTCTGTTTTCTTGCAACAAGAGCTCTGGATCTTCTCTCTTGGTCATTTGTGAAGCAGAGGGATTGGGCATGTGACACTAAACTGCTGAAGCACGCACATTAGCCTGTTTATGTGATGGCAGTTATGACACTAAACTTAAATATCAGTCTTTCAAACTACACAATTACACTGTATGTCCTGTAATAAACCCAATACTTTTCATATAACTGTTTAGAAAGATGAAGGCCATTTAAGGAAAGTAAGTATATTACACTGGTATACCTTTGTTCCCAGTTCTACTTAAGAGTTGCCAACAGAGAAAGAATCAAAATTACCTAGGATCTACACAAAATGTTTAAAATGGCAAATTTTATCGCAGCACACAATATTGTTATTTCTTTGGTAAATGCAGACGGTCTCCAAGAATCTACTAGCTCATTGCAGCTGGACAGTGTTTATAGACATATGGCAGAGGATGGTTTTCAAAGGAATTTAAATATTGCAGGGAGTGGTTTTATATTCCAGGGCCCCAAGTTTGCTTTGTGATAGCAGCTTAGTTTCACTGTTGCTCAAGAAAGGAGCCCTCTGTTCAAGAGGGAAATGCAGAAGGTGTGAAGCGAACAAATAAAATGTTCCATTTTCCATCCCTGGCATAGCAGAGGAGTAGGAATCAGCAGGGCAGAAAAAGAGACAAGACTGGATAAACAGCAGAGATACACGACCTGAACAAATCAGACACATAATACTGGTTTGCACTCTCTGAGTCAGCGAACATAAATTAACACCTGGTAAGATGACTGTGTTTTTGAGATAAAATTTTGCTTTCCATGAATACCCTCTAAAATGGGTTTAAAATTCTTTCCATAAACATTTCTAGCTGCTAATCTAATTGACTGGAATGTTTTCAAAAAGCAAAACACAGATGAAGGAAATGTACTGCTTTTATTCACATATAAGTGAGTATTTACAGGTTTTTAAAGTTATTCCCCAAGGTCACTAACTAACTAAACAATCTTATTTTGTAAACAGGTATGGTGCAGTAAAAAAGCCAGGCTTCAAGGTCTTTGTGAGAAAATATCAACAAAATCATCTCAATTATGCTTAGAAGAGAAAGATTTTTAGCAAGTGTTCCCTTCAAAATGATACACACTTTCTGATGCACCCTAGAAGATGTAGCTGAAAGTGGAGTTCGTGTCACCAGGGCACTTGCATGGGATCAAAGATTTCTGACTGCTTGGGATGTACATGGATGCAAGCAGGGAGGGATCAGGCCCCCCTTGCCAGACCCTGATTTGCTTCAGACTTTGAAACCTCAAACCCATGAGCTTCAGGGGAATTACTCCCCACTTACAAGGATGGGAGAGCTGCATCAAGACCCTGGAGCCTACCCTGGCTACAGGCACACTACACACCTTGAGCAGAGCTGGTTGCCTGAGCTCCTTTTACTTTGGGTTTTGTGGTTTGGTTCTCTCAGGTAAAGCCAGAGCCAAATCCACGACACACGACCTTCCCACACAAATTACGGAGGGCGAGCTGCTGCATCTCCAAGCCAGGGACACCAACTATCCCTGCTGAGCTGATCCTTGTCTGGGCAGCATTAGTCTAATTGTCAGCAGTTTTGAAGCAGTTTGGTAGAAATACCGCAATTTCTAAACACAGTCTAACTGAGGAGTAGCTTGGCTTAGTTCAGCTGAAGCAAACAATTAAACAACTGACCCTAAACAACCAAACTTGCAAAACCCAAACCAAACCACCTCAGACAGAAATCACATTTGGTAGGCAGGCTGTGTTACTTTTCCCTGTAACTGTGAAATTGAGATTTTAAAAGTAAAAGCCTTCACATAATTGCTTCCCTGCCAGCGCTGGCCCTGAAGAAAAACTGCTGTATATTGGGAAAGCTGCAGCACCGGGATGATATGAAATATTCCCTTGGCTGCTGTCCCTGGGAGTGTTGCGTGAAGACCCTGTTGTAGGTTGTACAGTGGAGCGGGATGATTGCTTATAGGATCTCACCATCCAGAAACAATCATGCTCAAATTCACGAGCTCAATTTCTGTCTCAATTCTGTTACAATATTGCTGTTAAAGAAAAAAACAACTACAAAAAGACAGTCCTCTGCCCTGAGATTCCCACCCCTTTCAGTTCTTTGAAGAGGAGGAGGGGGTATGTGTGTGTATATACATATACACATATATATTCATTCATCTATCATTGAATGGTGAATACTCTGTTCATTTTGTTTGCCAAATTGCATAGGACCTGATGCAAAGCCCTCTTTTGTGCAGCATTCACAAGTCCCTAAGCATGACTCAGTGTGAGCACTGCTGAAGGTTGCAGAACCTTGCAAGTATTTTAACCTCTTGCTAATGGCGGAGGGGGGAAAAGATGACAGATCCTAAATTCTCTGCCTTTGCTATCAATTAAAATATGGGGATCACTTATAAATATCCTTTATTATTCCCAATGGTTAGCTGAAATGAATATCTTACCCCCACCATCTTTTTCCCTCCCTTTTTTTTTCATCCTGACAGGGTGGGCTTAATGGTCTTATTTTCTTCCCTTTTCATATTAGAGCAATTTGAGTACCATCCATCCTGGATTTCTTGCAAGACCCTATAGCAAGGACTATACTATAGTAATGGGCCTGTGATGCTAAGACACAAATCTGAAGGCCATTTTTTTTTTGGTGTATGATTTAACAATTCCTGCTTCAAATGAGGAACTGTGAAATCTCTGCTCCAGCTCCCTGGGTTTCGATAAAAGCTAGCAGAAAAAAAACTGTAATTAGTCCCACTATTTCTAAAGTGAAAAACATGAATAAATTATTGCAGGTTGTAGTTTTTCAGCTCCTCAATTACTGTGAATGCCAAAATATGGGGAAAAAAAAAAATCTATATTTATAGCACTCTGATGAGGGAACAAGTTTTTTAAACCAAACAAAACTGTGTATTTTTGCAGCCTGGGAAAATGCCAACATAGTCCCTTATTCTGATAGCATTATCTCATTATCTTACATAAGTCTTATCAGCTATTTTATACTTTTACTCCAAAAAAACAGGTCTTAGTGTAAGAGTTTGTATGTAGACATGAAGAGGTGAAACACGACTTGAGTATCTCATTTCCTTCACGAGGATTAAATTTTTGGTGAGGTTCCAGCATTTGTTGGAAACTCCTACTGGGCATTACTTCCTCCCCGTACCCAAAATAAATTCCTCCGATGTTAATCATTCGTCAAAACAATGTTGCTTTTCTACTTTCCACTGACACTGTTCCTACCTGTCAATTCCCACCCCCCACCAGCAGTACGAGAGGAGGAATTGCGCTGTCGGGGCTATTACTTTCATTTTTTTATTTTTTTTCATTCATCTGGTCAAATTTCGACATCGCGCTGGGTCCTGGGGATGTGCTTTGTTCTCTAAAAATCTGTCAGAAATGAAAATAAATAAATAAATACTAAAAAAAAAAATGAAGGAAAAAAGGACCTTGAGCCCGTGACACCTGTCAAACACAGGCAAATCCCAGCTTCCCAATTCCAAGCCCCGGTGTCCCGAGGGAAGCCGAGGATCTCACAACCCCCTTCCCAGGCTCTTCACCGGTGCCAGCGCGGCCGCCCCGGCTTCCCCCGCACCAGGCCCACGGCCCCACTCTCCTTCCTCCCGCGGGAAACGACCTTGGCGGCGCCGGGGCTCAGCCCCGCTCCGCCCCGGAGCCGCCCGCAGAGCAGGAGGTGCCCGGGCCGAGCCCTTCCCCTGCTCGGGGTCTCTAAGGCGCCGGCCCCGCCCCGCCCGGCCCCGCCCCGCCCCGCCCGCGGAGGTTCCACCGCCCCCGCTCCCTCCCTGCGTGACCATATTTTCCCCCCCCTGCGCGCGCTCTTCTGATTGGCCGCCCGCGCCGCCCATCAACGCTACCCTGGGCGCTGATTGGTCGCGGGGGCCCGGCCGCCCGCCCCCGCGGGGCTCCCCCCGGCCCCTGGCGGCGGAGTGTCCTCAGAAGACTCATTGGGCCGGAGGGGCCGCTTGGGCGCTGGCGGCGGCCCCTCGCCGCCATTGGTCACCCGCGCTGTCAATCCGCCGCACCGCGGCGCGCCATTGGCTGTGAGGCGGCCGAGGGGGCGGGACGCCGCCCCCCTCCCTCCCCCGCTCCGCGGTGCCGCCCTGTGACCAACTCCCGTGTGTGAGTCACGGCAGCGCCGTCAATGCCGTGTGTGCGGGCGGGCGGCGCTGCCTGGGCTGCCCCGGCCCCCCTCCCCCGGCACAGGGCTGGCGGGCCGCACTTGTCACCGTGTCACATCCTCCCCGCCGCCGCCGCTTGCCCGCCCGGCTCACCCCGCTCAGCTCGGGGCCGCCGCGGCGGCATGGGATAGAGCCGGGCAGCGCCGCGCGTCTCGCAGTGACCTCCCCACGGTTTAAAGCGCTGCCCCCGCCTGTGTGTGTGTGTGTGTGTGTGTGTGTCCCCACCGCGCCCCCCCCCCTTCTCCGCAGACCCCCCCGCTCCCCTCGCCGGTCCTCGCCGCGGAGCCCCCGGAGCGGGTGAGTGCCGGGCACGGCCCCTCCGGGCTGGCTCGGGGGGCGCGGGGGGCGCGGGCACCGACAACTGCTCCGAAGTTGGGGCATCACCATCTCCCGGCGCTGGGCACTGCCCGCTCGGACCGCCAGAGAAGGGACGGAAAAAAAAAAGAAAATTAGGATAATAACCCCGCCGGCGCCGTTGCCAACTTCCAATGCGCTTTCGTGCTGCCGGCGGTGGTGATTTTTATTTTATTTTTGTGATTTATTTATTTTATTCTGTGATTTTTATTTTATTTTGTGGGGTTTACTTTGTGGGTTTTATTTTATTTATCCCCATCCCCCCGGGTTGAGGCTGTGGTGATGGGGAGGGTATCCCGAAAAGCAGCCCCTGGGTCGAACAAACACCCCCCCCCTCCGTACCAGGCTCAGGGCACTGTCCGTCCTGGAAAACCGGGGGAAACCCACCTTTTGTATTGCTAGGTTGCTCCATCCTCTTCCCCACCCTGTCGTTCCTGGATGTTTCGGTGTTACCTGGGCTTGACTTGCCGTTTGTGGGAGGGGGAAGCCGTGCTCCGCAGCGGGGAGTTTTGGTGGCTTTGGCTTGATTTTGGGAGTGCTTAACCATTTCACATTATGTCTCTGTTTCATTGCTATTGATTTTTAATTTTTTTTCTCTCTCTCTTTAGTGTATTTTTAGAAACGTGAATGTGGTATATGTTCTCATGTGCTGTATGTTCAGAGTAGCTAAAATAAAACAGAGGGATGGAAAACCCCCAGCAAATACAGCAGCCTTTCCATACACAGGGCGTCCAAACCCTCTGTACTTTGCTGGGTTTATTTATTAATATTAATTGCTTGATCTTTGTAACTCATATCACATGGAAGCTAATTGTCGAATTGAAGGTTTACCAAACCTCACAGCAATCCAAAATCATCTTTCTCAGGCATCTGAAAAATAAATCTACTGAACTTTTGTTAAGAGGAAAGGTCAGCATCATTCTGGAAATCCTTCACATGAAGTTTTTCTTTTTTAAGGCAAGCACCCTTGTAAATAAATAGTAGTAAAATGCGGCCTTACTCAGTGGGTACTCAAGTGTAGTCTTAAGTGTGCTTAAGATCAGTAAATTTCTAGAGGAAATGAAGTCTTTACCATATCTTGTCTTGCTTCTATCTATAAAGAGAGGGAGGGGAATAAAAAATCAGCTGTAAGAATGATACCAAATAGAAAATCAGTCCTTTTCCCAAGGAGTATCTTGCCCAACATAACCTGATAACTTCCTAAATTTTACCTTTATGGGGAAGTCTTTGAGCTGTGGTCTCTTAAATCAACATGAAACAGGGCCTGTTTCTCCTCTGGTACCAGTTTAGCACCAGTGTAACTTCATTAACGGAGCAGATTTGCATTAATGTGAAGAGTAATCAAGAAACTCATGTTTTCAGAAAGGCCCCTGTAGTAATGATGTGACAGGCTCTGATTCCTTCTCTCAGCACACCCAATTACACCACCCTTACTCACCGTGAGCGGTGCTTTACTGCGCAGGTACTCCCTACGATGCCCGTGTGACTACTTGTGTACTACAGCACCAACCCGGCTGAGGTAGAGTGGCGCTTATTTTTTCATAACTATTTTTTCCCCTCCTTTCCTTTAAAATGAGAATATATTGGATAAGTATTTTTCTTGGGCCGTGAGGAAAACTTCTGAGGATTAAATGTGAATCTGCTCCGTTAAGTGACCGTACCAAAAAGACCCTTGTTTTAAGACTTCTGCGCTGCCAAGTGAAGCAGGCAGGTAAGTTTTCCGTATGTTTAGATTTCCCTTGTTGCTATGGAAAGTAGGAAAAAGATTGTTGAAATATTAATTATCTTGTCTTGAAATTCCTCTTTGCCTGAGGGATTCCATACCTACACGCTGTGTTCAAGTTGGAGTTGTTTTTTCAAATTCCCCTCTGTCTCTAGAACCCCAAACATCCACATTGTTTAAATGTTTGCTATTGAAATCACTGGCAGAAGGATCAGGCCCTCAGTTGTTTTTCTTTAAAGCAGTTGATAATGACTTGGATGTGATGTTGTGAAAAGATAGTATTATCTGGTGTGTCCACAGCTCAGATCCACTGTCTTGTTACAATCTCAGAAGAAAGCTCCCGTACTAAGCAGCCTGTAAAGAAAATATGTCTAACAAAGCAGAACTGTCTTCTGCCTTTCTGTTCTTATTTATAAATCTCTTGAAAGTTTGCTTGATACTCTTTCAGAACAAGGCAAGAACCTTTCATGTTTGTTTGATGTTTTCACTTCCTCGTATGACTGTGTTCATTGCTAAGCCTTTGTGTCACTGATTGAGATGTTATTGTAATTAACATTAATTATGCAAACTAGATTGTTTTTAGTGGTTCTCCAACTCTGTATTGATACTGTCAACTTGTTTGTTTGTTTGTTGAACAAAAATCCACGCAGTTCACCATTCTCAGAGGAAATAGATTAACCGATTCCAAGTTAATATATGCATGGGAAACCCTAGCAAAATTAATTATTTTAGCTCAAATGGCACATTGAATCATGATGGACATGGTGAATACAGTGCAGTTGGATCTGAACTATCAAGGCAGGATAAACAGGGGGAGCAGGAAAGGGGACTCTGTCATTGGGGAGGGTGTTTACACTGCAGAGTTCCATTACATTCTTTCCAGATAGACAGTACTAGATTAATTGGGCCAAATTCTGCAGTCCCTAATTGAACAAAACTCTCACTGAAATATACTGGAGCTGTCTGTTTGGTTATGGACTGCTGAATTTGTTTGAGAAATTGAGAAAAATGGCAGAATTTACTTCATTAATTATTTAGGACATGTTTGATTTTAGACTTCAAGAAGATATCTTCCTTAAATTCTGTTTAGAAGGTGTTCCAGGGTTGCTTTCTTGAAACAAAAACCTAATAAAAATATCTTTGAAGTATACATTCACTTATAAAATATTCCCTATAGGAATGGTAACATTTTATAATTTTTTTATAATGTTAATTACAGTGACATTCACAAAAGTCTCTGTGTCTGATTCTGAATTGCCCTCTTGAAACACTTCTGAGCTGAGAAGGACTTTAGAATCTCTCCCTGGAAATCATAATTGTTGCAATATTTATATGCTGTATTTTGTGTACTCTTAGGAAGAAAAAAAATTAGAAGTGGGGAGAGTTTAAGTGAGAGTTCGTTGTCACGCTATCAAATCTGAAAATATATGCAGACTAGCAGATTATTCCCTGCCTTCAAAATTAAGTCTCTCTAACTTCCCATTTAAATAAGCAAAATTTGGTTTGCAGTTTGCTTTGGGTAATGAAAGAGAGGTTTTTTTATTTCTACTTTTGGTGCAGTGGTCCTCTGGAAAGTTGGAAACAGCGCCCTGGGGCTCAGCAAAGTGGAGGGTGTATAATTATATGGGAAGGCTCCATAGCATCAGTGCATTAGCAGCTGAGTGAGTTTGTTAAGCTGTAGAGATGGCATTATGGAAATCAATAAAATGCTGATTTCTTTTCCTTATTGCATATTCCATGTTAAAAGGAAAAGATGCTTTTTGTTTGTTTGCCTTTCATGTAGGCTTGCCAAACCATTAGTTGATTTGGAAAGGCAGGTTTTTCAGTTCAGGTGATAAGTAGTCAATTTTGGGGGGTTTTAAAAACTCTTTTACGTCTTTATTTATTAGATTGTCTTCCAGAAATCACACTGACATCCTGGCCTGCAAGTGTCTTCAAGTGTGTTTGTCAGCAGAGTCAAGAGGGAAGGTCACTTTTTTCTTATGACATGCTGGTGTGGCATTGTTTGTTGTAGCCCAAATGCTGTCTGTTCCTGATATTCCTGTTTCTGCTTTAAATTAAATTCTGTCAAATGTTTGTAGGGTTCTGATGTGATGTACTGAAATCCATAGTCAAAATAAAGGAGAAATAATGACCTTAACTGTTTTCAGAGGTGTGAGTCAGGAGGGATGATATTAAGCCCTGTAAGATCTGTAATATGCAATGGCCTTTATTTCTTTGTGTCAAAAGCTTCTCCATCTTTTATACCAGAAAGAGGAGTAACCAGATCATTCATCACATTGAGCTCTTCCAGAGAAATGACAGACCGACAGCCTTATGTTGCACGCTGTGTAACGTGTATGATGCATTAGGTTCTGATGATCTATATAAAACATTTTAATTGGGAGATGTGAGTGGAAATGGCTGTCTCTTAATCCAAGGACTTTGGTTTTTCTTTCCTTCTTCCTGATTGAAATTAAACTCAAGTTCACAATCAAATTATTTTATTTTAATGTGATTGTATGCTGTGACCCTTGATGAAATACTCTGAAACAATTTTTTTCATGCAAGGGTACACTAAGAACTTTGGGGTAACCTAGGAAACCTCTTTGCCTTCATGCTGGATAGGATAACTGATGCTAATTTGGTGGACTCTATGGAACTAGGAAGGTCCAACTCAGCAGCTTCTTCAGGGATGCTGCAGCGAGCATCTGTTTTGTGACGTGCGAGCAGCCTGTGTACCGAGTTCAGATACCGTGAGACGTGTGGAGCACGTTCTTGTATGAATAGAAGCAGTTCAGAATTCTGGATTTATGATGCAGACAACACGAAAGGTCAGCAACTTGGAAAATTAATAATATGGTTCATGTTGACATTTCGGAGGGAATTCTGATGCAGGCGTGGTTCCAGTGAAAGTAAACTCGCCAGTCCGGCCACACAGATAAAACAGGCAGCCTCAGTCTTATCTCTTTGGTAACCGAAACCTGTTTACTGATAAACTGGCAAAATGATGTTTATATTCTCCCTATGCTTTGTCTCTCCTAATCTCTAATTAAGTAGATCCAGTGAGGGCCAGCGTGGTGCTTTTAGTGCTCAACTACAGCTTAGAATTGACACTCTGCTTTCTAATGATTACGAGCAGGTGAAGTGACAGGAAGGGCAGAGAAGTTGGAGTAACGTGACATGCAGTTAAATTTCTGATTCTCTAAAATATTTGCCCATAGTTGTAGTGATCCACAGT